GGGTTTGGGCTGCAGGCCCCCTGCCCTAGGCCCCCAGCAAGGCGTTGGCCTGCGGCAGAAATCTAGGCCAGCTCAGTCTTAGAATGTGTGGTGGGTACAGTTCCCCTAGGCACGTGCAGAGTGCCTTTCATCATGGGGTACCTACCGCTTGATATGTCGGGGTCAGAAAACCCAGCTTCACCCCAGCACCCTGTTTCATCTACATATCTAAGTAAATAAATGCGGTTGTGCTGGAAAGGTTCCTCCTTCCGAAGCTCCCTCTTCTCTCAGGTAAGCAGGCGGGAAGAAAACCCAACAGGGGCCTGTGCTCAACCAGCACAACTTTCCCCCTCGAGAATGTTACACTGCAGGGAGAATTTGCGACAGCAAGAATTCTCCTTTCTCAATCATCACTGCAGACATTGCGGCATCCGAGTCGGGTGCAGCCTCGAAACGTTCACCTGATTGTCCCTTTCCCCCCAGATGTCTCCTCCAATCAGACGCTGCTCATCCAAAGAGGATGCTGTATCCAGATCTCCCACAGAATTACGCTGGATGGTAAAAGCACCATTAATATATTCTCTCTCTCTCTCTCTCTCTCTCTCTCTCTCTCTCTCTCTCTCACACACACACACACACACACACACACACACACACACACACACACACACACACAACATCTTGCACAATGCTGCTACCCTCATAAAGGAGACCTGGATAAAGCGAAGCACAGACTTCCCCGTTCTTCCTTTAAACACTGACATACCTGCAGCGCGGCTGGAACGGAGTCCTGGGAAAAAAGGAAGGGTCCCCGATAAATATTTCTTATATTTCATTCATTCATTCATTCATTCATTCATTCATTCATTCATTTAAAACTTTTATATGCCGTCCTTTATGTATGGGATCTCAGGATGGCTGATAGTGATCTCCCACCTTTCTCCCATGGTGGAAATCAGGGGAGCGCTGCCCGGGAGGGTCTCCCCTCCAAGCCACAGACCTGCTCAGGATGGATGTCGAGGGCGCGGAAGAACCAGGTTAATCCGTTAGTCTCTTGGGAGGCCGCCCCAAAGCCTGTGAACTCAGGGGGCGCCCCTGGAAGGTGAGGGGGAGCACTGGGCTGGCTTGGACTTAATCATATTACTGTCCTGTGGGGCCCTACGTGATCCTATTTCCCCCTTGCGTTTTCTCCTCACCACAACAACCCTGTAAGGTAGGTGAGGATGAGTGTGACTGGCCCAAAGTGAGCCTCATGGCCGAGCGAGGGCTTGAGACCAACTTCTCCCAGGCTGGTACTTTACCCAAAAAAAAAAAAAAAAAAAGCTGGAAAAACCTTGCACGCCGATCGCTCCCAGCATTTTGGCTGTTTTTCTCTGAGCTTGCGCACAAGGGGAGGCATGGTACCCGGGTAAATGATGGCGCTGCCATCGAGGCAGATGATGCGTTCTGCACAGGTAATGGGGTGCGGTCCCAGTACTTAAAAAAATAAAATCACATTGGAAGAAGGCAGAGCGTGGAGAAATGGGAGGCAGGTGGGTGTTTTTTTGGCCCTTTCTCCTCCACTCAGCTTTGCCTCACTGGTCAACCAGAGGCTTTCAGGAAGCTCACGAAATGGACATGCAGGCAGTCCACACATCTCAGTGGGGCCAGCCCTACTCGTAGGCAGAGGTTACGGGGCTTCGCTTGTCTGCTTTGAATTCAAAATGTCATCACCCGCATTCTGCGGCCAGAAAAGCTGCCAGAGCAGCTTGGAGGTCAATAAAAACCAGAGATGCGTTCTTTCCCTCAGGCTTCCCATCCAAAAGACCCGACACAAATGGAAAAAAGGTTGGGGGGGGGAGATGGAGTGAAGTGAATGCATCAGGCAGCTGGTTTGGGGAGTTGCGAAAGGCCAGGATATTCTGGATGAAAATGATAATTCTTATTTATTCTAATTATAACACTAAGAATGCCTTTTGTTTGTTAAATGGGCACCCAGCCGTTTTTTCCCGGACCTGAGGCAGCTTAATAACCCCCTTCTCCGTTTTTAATCCTCACAACATCCCTGCAAGGTAGGTGAGTCTGAAAAGAAGTGGCTGACTCCAAGTCACCCAGCAGGCTTCATGGCCAAGCGGGGATCCGAACTCGCGTCCCGGTCCTGCTCTTTAACCATTACACCACACTGGATCTCTGTGACTATTTTTATTCTTGCTAATCCTTTCATGATCGCTATTATTTTCCCATCATTCTATCTTTTGGTTGAAGATCAAGAAAAACAATAATATGAATAGCATTAGCAACAAAATATGTATGTGCAATATTTCTGTACTGCTAAGTAGTAGAAACAGCCTCTAAGCAGGTGGTGGCGGTGGTGGTTAAATCATTTAATTTAAAACAATAATACGAATTGCCAAGGAGAAATGCTTCCTGGGTTTTGTGCAGTCAGTGCCCGTGGGGTGCAGTGCGCCTTGGCCTGGAGGGGGCCAGCCGATTGGCTGCCTCACCTGAAGCAGCAACATACCTGGCAGCCAGTGCAGCCGTACAGGTGAGCCAGGCTCCTGCAAACGGCATCCGGCCCGCCCCGCTCCTTGTGCTCACGCCTCTTCCTTTCTGCTCCCATCGCTGCCCAACAGATCTCGGCTGGCAAAGCTGGGTGCTGTTCCCCGATTCCTTCGTCTTCACCCAGTGCCTCGGATGCTCCTGCCGCAGCAAGGAAGAGAGACGTCCGCTGCCCCTTTGGGTTCACGGCTGTGCACTCGGGAAGCCAAGCCGCTGGCCGGAGGCGGACACGAAGCAGGTAGCGGGCAGCTCCGTCAGTTCTGGGTGGCCGAACGCCCGCTCTGGATGTGGAGGGGCCGTTTCAGCCCCGACCTCCCCAGAGCCAGGAAAAAGCCCTGCCTGAGTCCTTGCAGGGCTTGCAGGGCTGCTTTCTAGAAGGGAGCGGAGCTCATCTCACCATCGTCATGCATGGCTTGGGAACTCTCCTGAAGGGCCTCCTCATTTGAGGGACCATCCTGTGCAAGTTCGGATGTGGGGAGCGCCTGCCTGCACCCCGAGCAAGAAAGCGTGTGCTTGCACGGGGCATGCTGGGAGATGTAGGCCGTTCCTCCCGTCTGGACTAGCACCAGGGCCATTCCCTCGAAGCGTTGGCTCCATTCTAGCAGATTGGCGGGATTCGATCCCGGTTGCATGTTTAGGGTCGGCCTCAAAATGTCCGTTTGGTGGGGTGCTTTGCCACCCTGTGCCGCGTGCGAGGGGCGTCACGGTCCCAGTCGGGCAGCCGATCAATGACCCCAGAGAGGAGCTGCCAGGCTGCCGGCTCCCCGCTGTGCTTCCCACACGCTTCCACGGCACGTGTGGCGATTCGATGGGCTTGTGTGATTCCTCGGCATGGCCACGCTTGGGATAAGGACGATGCGGAGCTGGAAAGAGCAATCGAGGCGACTGGGGGACTGGATGGCCCCCATGAGGAACAGCCTCTGCCGCAGAGACGTTTTATGATACGGAGAGGGAAGCTGGGAGGGACTGAGGCCTGTGCAGTTACAGACTGGCTGCGACAAGCTGAGAAGAGGGGGGTGTTTTGTCATGCTGGAAGCCCAGACCATCCAGTGATGCTCTCTGGGAGCCCGTTAGTGGCAGGCGAAAGGAAGCATAACCTGCGGAACTCACTGCCACAAGAGATGGAGCGGATTGCTAATGCAGATGGGTGTTCAGGGGCGAGCCAGAAAAATGGACAAGAGGAGCCCTGCTGAGTCCGGTGTGGTTCAGCTTTCTGCTCACACAGAGGCCAATCAGCTGTTGGCCGCGGGTGCAAGGACACCCGCCCATCTGTGTTCAACTCATACGCACAGGCTGCATTTTCCAGACCCCAAATACCAGTTGTTCCAGCCCCATGTCTGCAGCTTTTGCGGGCAAGTCACTTCTCTTTCAGTCTCACCAAGTCACTTTTGAGTGAATGGGCATCCTGAGGCCAGCCATTTTACGAACATGCAAGGCAGCCATTTTGTGAGAGTGCCCGCGGCAGCCCCTCAACATCCCAAACGCGGGCCTAAAAACAGTGGGGGCCGCTTTTGCCCTCTGCGGGGGACAGAATCCCCAACCGCTGGGGTGTCACCGGTTCCGTCGTTTTCCTTTCCAGCAGGGAGAAAAACGGTAAGTGCTTAAAACGTCCAGGTTGCTTGGCCTGGCTGTGAAGAAGCCGCCCGGTCTCTTTGCAAAGGCTTTGCTCAAGCCGCTTCTCTCCCCGCAGAGACACTGCTGCTGCCCACGCCGGAGCTCCCTGCCCTTCGTGTTCCTCCAGGCGGACGGCTCGCTGGTAGTCCGGGTGGCGCCCACGGTGCAAGATTGCCACGGCCGGCCCTAGACCCCGCGGTGCTCCGCAGCCCCACGCCAAAAGGGGCGAGCCGTACGTCGACGGGGGGCTGCCAGGGTGGCTCGGTGGGTGGGAGAAAACCCTTTCTGTGCAGGGGACCCTCATGGGATGGGGGAAGCACCCCTCCCCTCCTGCTTGTCTCAGCACGGGGCTCACGCAACTTCACTGGGGCACATTTCTGGCCGGTGTGGGTCAGTTCGGCTGCCGCAGCTCCCAAAGACGCCTGCAAAGGGAGGATGTTTCTCTCCAGATCCCGTGTCCCCTGTGGTGAAGCGGCGCCCTCGACGCTGCTTCTCTCGCTCACGTTCTCTCTCAAAATCGGGATAGCCTTTAGGAGTGGGGAGAGACAGTAAACGTGCCCATTTCTTCCCTCCGTCCTTATTCCTGAGTCCTTTAATGACAGCCTGAGCTGCAGGGATCAGCAGGCGGATGAAAAGGATTCTCTGGACACAGCAGAACATTTCTCTTGCTTCTTTGTGCAAACTGGGCTGTTCTTAAAAGGCGGCGGGGCAGGCCAGCTTTAACCCTAGTGAGCTGAACTCCCGAGAGGTATGAAAGCGGCTGAAATTTTCACCACAGGCTTAATCGGGAGGTTGGGGGGCGGGAGGGGCCGGGTGCAAGGGGTGCCATTTGTATTTATCACTGTAAAGAAGCACACACTGACTTGCAATAAAGGTGCACCGACTGTTTTAATTCAACCTGGCATGACGGAAGTTTCTGCGCTTTTTCCTGCCTCTGACCATGGAGAGCACATCCCCCAATCAGGGTTGGGAATACTGGTCTGTAGGGACCTTGGCTCTGACAATACAAATGCCCATGTTTCCGATGTCTTGATCTCCAAACAAGGAAAGAGGCTTCTGTCCATGTGCAGAATGCCTTTCCCTATCTAGTGTTCTGTTTCCAACACTGACCAGGCCAGCCCTTCAGGAAGGACAGCCTTCATCCAGCCTTCCAGTTGTGTTAACTATGACTCCCACAATCCCCCAGCCAGCATAATCAAACACATCTAGAATGTCGTGTGCTGCCTGGGGGATTATGGGAGTTGTAGTCCAGCACATAAGACGATGGCCAGGTCAGTCAAACTGAAGTACGGAGTGGAAGCAAAGCTAATTGCCCTCCTCATCCTCATTTCCAGTGAAGAAGGCTTCTAAACATGGGGGGCAGACGGGGTCCTGTTCTCATGAGGTCAAATACACCTTGATGCAACTACCCACCATCACAAATTTGCCCCATCCTCTCAAGCTAACAGCGACCGACCCATCTGGTGGCCAGGAATTCCACACACATTTTCTGTGCTCTGTCTTGAATTTGCCACAAGCAAACATCCTTGAGAAGCTTTGAATTCCAGTTAGTATCCTTCCGCTTTTCCAATATTCTTCAGAAAATCTAGGCCGTGCCGTCATAGATTCAGAGCTGAAAGGGACTGCGGAGGGCATCTAGTCCAGCCCCTCAGGTATGTAGCATGGAAGCAGCTACTCCAAAGTTGCTCAGAGAGTCACCTAGTAAACACCTGGAGTCGAAACACAAACGTCTCTGAAGGTCTTGTGCTTTTCCATTGCAAGGGATGGACTGAGTCTTGGGGGGAAAGAGTGTTTCCTTCAGTTCTTGGGGATTGGGGACCAGGGGTTGTCACTTCTGGGAAAGTCTGAAGCCTAATTCTTCCTTAAAAAACAAAAATAAACACAATTTACCATTGCCAGACCTGAAATTTCTGGCCAGAAAACCAAAGTACCCTGATTGTCCACTTCTTTCTCTACTGCCCCCCCCACAGTGTCTTTAAGACACTAGAACCATGTAATTTTTCCTCCTATCCATGCACTTATGCCATGAAAAGCAGTGCAGCACCAGTCCGATTCAACCCTTTTTCCTATAAAATAATATTTTTCAGGCCTGAGTTGAGGTGGATAGAGCCAGTGACCCGCATTCTCCACCCTCCAAAGCTGCAGCAAAATTACAGCCTAAATTCATCACTTCCAAGAGGTTAACACGGCACTGAATATTTTGCGATTGAAATTAACTCCTTTCAGATGAAATACCTGCAAAATACCACAAGGGCTGGACACAGAAGGGTTTGTTTCAGGAAAAAGAAGCAGCGCGGGGGAACTGATTTTCCAAATGTGGCTTCCGGAATGCATGCCCTGTTTGTTAACCCCTGTTAAAGAGTCCCAGTCCAGTTGTTACTTTCCACCCTGAGTCCTGGCTCAGGAGAATCCCCAAAAAGAAAACTCAGAGCAGGGCAACTGGATGGGGAAAAGTCAGGAGAAACAAAATTTATACCCGAGTTCTCTGGAAAAAGGAGGCGGGCTGTCCAGGGAGGGTGGGAAATTCATTTTCGCCTCCCTCTTGCCTCCCAACCTCAACCAAAGCTCCATCATTCCTTGAGTTTCTTCGCCTTGAAAAACCATGCGAGGCAGAAGACCAGCCAAAAGGCCAGGATGATGCTGAAGAAGACGACACAGGCACCACCCGATCCTGCAAGCAGAGAGACAGGCAAGTGGAGAAACAAGCCCCGATTTTCTATCCTTGGTTGTTCAGCAAAGGCTGTTTATTTCTTCTGTTGTTTGTGTGGGATTTGTGCTAATGCACACCGGTGTGAACGAGCCCCTGCACAAATGCGCAGGAGCGTACTGAGAAACTGTGTAAGTGGAACGGGATCCCAGTTTTTAAAAATCCGGTTCCGTCAGGGATCACACAGTGGAACAAAAGGCTCCTGGCCATGCGCAGAACAAGGACAGGGCAGATTTAATAAAAATCCAGACATCCCAAGTGGAGAACTCTTGCTTTGCACGTAGCAAGCCCCAGATCTGAGCCCCGGCGTGGACTGGTAGCAGTTTCTTAGGCTACTGTGGGGGATCCAGCGCTCAGTGGTTAGAGCTGACGGACCAATCGATCCGTTTAGGAGGGTGACCTGCCAGTCCATGGGCAACCCCTCCTCTGTCCAGGACCCCAATTCTGGGGCTATAAAAAAAGACTCAGACCTTTCTATGAAGCACCTTTCCGGCGATGGATGCAACCCGATAAAAGAACCATTTTATGGCCCAGACCTTCATTTGATCCAAACTCATCTGGTTGCTTGATCTCCATGAGTACATATGTGGGTAAAACAAGCACAAATGCATTTGGATAAAGATAAAACATGTGCCTGGTGTTTTAGCAGGTCAGCTGCTGTATCATTGATTGGCCTAGCCGCTACATTGTTTTGTGTTGTTTTTCTAATTATAAACTGCCTTAAACCACCAGAGAATTCTTGGGTAGTACAGCAATCAAACAAACAATATTAAATTGAGCAAGCACATGGTGGGCATGTCATGAGCGCAGCCGGCGGTCAGACTAGATGGCCCGGGAGACCCCTTCTGACTCGGGAGACCCCTTCTGACTCACCCTGTTTCTGTGAATAAGTAGAATCAATTTGCACATAGATAAAGGCAATATTCCTACAGGAAGGGGTCGCATTTGTTTTCAGGTAATACACCTCCACCTACCTTAGAATCAATTAAATCAGTGGGGTTCCCTCCAGGCTAGCAGGAGCCAGGATTGGACTGTATCCGTCATGGAGAAATAACGGACCGTATTTTACGCACAACAGGTTTTATTTTAAACCGCTGCTTCTTGATGATGCAGCCGACGATGACCAATCTGACCGTCGCGTACGGATGCCGCTCACCATTTCTGCGGCTGCTTTCCTCCTTCCACTGCTTCACGGAGGCGAACGCTTTGGCGATGGAATCGGACAGGTCCCGCAGCCGGCGCAAATCGCCTTCCAAGGGCTTGAGTTTCTCTGCCTTCGCGATCTGCAGGTTTTGTATGTTTTTAATGCTTTGTGCAACTGCCCCGAGAACTTTGGCTGGCACGGACAGGAAAGGGCCTGCGGTTCCCAGCACGGCGGACAAGAGTGCGAGCCCCAAGGAAGGCTGCGCAGAATCGCTTCCGGCCCAGGCTGCAGCTGCGTCCATTTCTGGGGAGGGATAAACCTGGGGCACACGCACCATCCTCGAAACCTCCCTCTGGGGAACGGAGGCCAGGAAGGTCCCTGCTGTCCGTGAACTAACCCACGCCAACGCAGCAGCTTCCGCAAGCTGCCCCCCCCACACGCCGCCCCCCCAGAACGGGGCATGCACTTACGTCCTCGTAATTCCGCGCCTCCACGCCACACTTGATGCTGAAGTGGACCAGTGCGGCAGGGGTCTGGAAAGTCCCAGGAAGCCCGGATGGAGAGGAACTGTTGAGGGGAGAGGCCGGGGAGCCGGGTGCCGCAGCTGCTGGATTTGCTCCTTTCCAGTCCAGGGTGATTCACGACCCATGCAAATTGAACAAATGACTCACCCTGAGCATGTACAGAGTGCATTCCCCTCTCCAAACAACAAGCATCTGGGAGGGGGTCAACCAGTCCCCGGCTTTTCTCCTCTGTTGGTGCTTTCACTAAGTTAAACCCGGAATTATGGGAAAGCGCCGAACTGATATAGGCTGCGGTGCTTCTGGGGTCAGTTCGGGGCACCAGGTGCTCCAGCCCAGGCCCTGCTCCATCTACCTGGCTGCCCGTGACTCTCGAAGCAGATCTCGTAGATTTCAGGATCCTCCGTGATGAAGGTACGTTTCCCTTTGCGGGCGTCGTCCCTGGAGTACAGGAGGTGCCCGGAGGAGTCGGTGACCTGCGGGGAGAGGGAAGGGCCCGCGGGGCTGCAACCAGAGCGGCAGCCGCAGCGCCCCTGCGCCCGTGCAGAGGGCCGGCCGAGGCGCCGCGCGGGGCTGCGGGGGGGCTGAATTCACCCCCGGCGCGCGCCCGCTCCTGCTCCCGCTCCCGCTCCCGCCCGGGGAGGCGGCGCGGCTCACCCGCAGGTCGGTCCGGG